TGCAAGTCTACAAGAGCAACGTCCCTCGTCAACTATTGGCATGGGCCAGTATCCTGCCAGATGTGGGGTGCTAGAAGTGTCGAACTGGATATTTTACCAACACTGGATATCAACAAAAGTGCGATGAATCAAGCCAGAAGCTGAGGAGAGCTTCACTTCTGAGGTGGAGGCAGTGTGGCGACGGATTAGGGCGCAGACATTTTGGACCACCTGGCCGCAGCCAATCCTGTGTCTCTCTGTGTTCCAATGGCATGCGAGGAAAAAAGCAGCTAACCAGAGAGGGACACAAATGAGGTGCAGTATATAATGAGCGGCGTGGCTAGCGTGGCGGACTCGGATGGAAGGCACCTGTCGCGTGGATCTGGCTTGTGATTAATCAATAATGCCTGTTCTGCTGTACCAGGCTTCTTCCTATTAGGGCTCGGGTATTCTACAGATGGTTACCGGGATTTCCCAACACATACGAATGCCGCGTTGCTGCTTCAAGGTTTGAGTAAACCAATACGAGGGTAGATTGCTAATTATTCCACATCCATCTTGGTTGTGAAAAGTGACGTCAGTTATATAAATGAAATTTAACAAAGAAATTGTTGCAAAGCACTTATATTTTTCTTCTTGTAAATGTTTATTTTTGAATATTTATTTTGTTTTTCAATGATTGGAATGATGGATATAAGAATCCCTGCCTTAAATCAGCTTAAAAACCGGCTAGTGTGGCAAGGTAACGCTTATTTTATTGCAGTACTACCGTAAGTCACAACTAGTTGTAGAAGTAACTTTTATACCTGGTTTGGGACAGGTGGTTAAGCATATTGTGTAATCAAATGTGGGTGCGTCGAAAGAATGTGTTAACTAGTAAATTTTCCGAATGTGGACTATTGGAAAATAATACATTCAGTTAGAAATATTTTTCAAAAACAAATACTAGCTGTTATAAAAAAGCGTTTTTTTGTACAAGACGCGAATGATAACAATGCAATTTTGAGTGCATTTACACAAACACTCAATGGCCCATATTCTAAGTCAATATAAGCACCGTCAAAATTTTTACATTCACAAGGAAAGCAGCTTGTGTGTTTTCACCGGTTTCGGGTAGTAGTAACATTGTTACTGACTGCTCATTGACAGCGATTATGTGTACTTGCCTGTCGGTTGTTATGTCGGCTGCCCAGTAGACCTACTGGATATCATTAGGAATGATCGTCGAGTAGCTGTTTACAGCTACTACAACTGTACTCTAACAAAAAGATAATGTTTAGATTGTAGTAGATTAAAATTACAACTTACAATGTCTCTAACGGACTATAGCAACTACCTGAGTTGTTCATCCTAGTCAGATCTACATTTTTTGCTTTGCAAGCACCAACTTTTATTTATTAAACAGAATGCTTCCATTTTACGTTTATGTGTATAAATTACAATGCCGAAGAATGCTGGGAATGGAAATGAAAAATTATCCTGCTAGACGCCACACAACGAAATTGGGCTCAGGGTGATAAACTCGACAATGTTCTGTTGGGTTTAAGTATTTTTTCTTTTGTGAAAGGTCGTACAATCTAGATTACATAAGATCATTGCAAGCACATTCCGTATAACCCATTCAATGAAAGTAGAATTATCCAAGACATCTAGGTAAGTAAAAGGAGTGTCATCGTACAGAAAGTCAAACGTGGTTAGAAATAAAAGTTTTGCTGCTCAAGCAATTTTCGCTTAAGCACACAACAACTGTGTGAATCAAAGTCACTTGTTTTGAAAATTTGCTAATAGACATTAATAGGTTACAAAGAGGAATCAGCTCAAGGTAGGTAATGGTTCGAGAGCCGAATCAAAGTGGACACATTACAGCACCGACTCGGCTTTCCTAGGACCATTATTCCAGTGACGTGCCTATGCCACCAAAAAGCTAAGAAGACCCTGAAAAATCGCCGTTTCTTTTTAAAACCTGAATTACCCCTATAATTAGCCAGCCGTAACTGTATACAAACCAAATTCAAGTCGACAGCGTCATATTCTACACCAAGTTTATATCAAAATGGTATTAATTTCTGTCAACGTGTTTATCCTAGAGGTCTCAATTTACATTGTAGTTGCTCTAAGACCTTCGATTACATGATGAAGGATGATGATGAAAAATGTCTACTACATGAAGGACGAGACCACTGCCGTGGAGCTTCAACCGTTTTTTGAACCGACCTGTGAATATATATTTTGTCTGACCTTACCTTAGTATATTTAAATGCGCCTTGCATTCAAATGATACAATATTCGTCACTAGGTTCAGTGTGATTGTAACAGTCAGTATAAATCAAATAGTTCGTATCATTTTGAAAAGTGAGGAGAAGGAGGTGAATGAGATTAATCTCTTCAAGCTCTCTCAGTTCTGAATCTATTTATTCCGTTGCACTCTTAATGAAAAACCTGACAGTACTCGTCAATTCATTGAAGCGTAGTAGCAGGCTATGGCAAGAACTAAAAATCTGCCGTGTCCCAAGCTCATCGGATTTGAAAGCCGACTCGTCATCTGTGATTCAATTAATTCGTACCTATGCCCTTTCCCTACAACTAACAAGAAAAGCAAGGACTTTTACCAGCCAACTGCAGTTGTCATGGTGGTCCGTTTGATGGTGAAAACACTGCATCCATAGACGCTGGTCGGCATTAGGACTACAGAATCTGGAGCGTGATAGTCGTACCTACTACAATTTCTTCACCTGGGAGATGGTGTATATAGTACATGAGATAAATGTTAAGACCAGAATTTCGCGTTTAGTAGTGCAGTAATTGAGCCTTACCTTAGACAGGATTCTGCTGATATAATGCTACAGGGTGTTCTGAACTATCAGGTTGAACTTGCGACAGTCGCACCCCAATCACCCTGTTTGGCGCATCCTTGTACAAAATGAACGCAGAAATCTGCAAACACGGGACTGCCCTGCGAAGCCACTCTAATGGTACAAAATAAATTCTTAGGTCCAATCAGCATGATGTCTACCAAAAGACACTGGTGACATTACATGCACATTGAGAGAATTTAGAGGACATCCTGTGGAACTGGAAATCAATGTTGATGCAGGTTATGCAACCAAAATGGATATCTCGAAAAATTATCTTTATTAATGAAATTATAACAGTCTAGCTATGCAAAAAAACTGCTTTAGGAATGCCTATCCAGCAGCAGATATTTAGTTAATTAAAAAATGTCTGTCATGGAAATTTGCTGAACTTAGGAGAATAGCCTCGTCAATTATACTCGGTGATTTTACTAAATTTCAAAAAGTGTTGCTTTGATCATTTGCCGTTAATTATGTGGGAAGTATCATAGGCTTGTAAAATGCAAGAGGTCTCACGTATAACCACAACTGGTCTGATTTCTAGATTGAACGACAATCCAAAGTTCATTTACATAATGAGGTACATTAAGAAGTACCTGACGATCGAACCTTTCTAGAGAATGTTACGTTGTTTAGGCCAGCAAATTTCACATAACCATCTGAAAACTAGATTTAATTTGTAACTGCTTGTAATATACATGTAATATACATGCTCTCTACCAATAAAACAAATGTTCGAATTATAATTTTGGCCTTTAAAGAGTTTTGAGTAATGCCAGCATTTTTTGTAAGTAAATTGAGCTCTCCACATTTAAATGATAAAAAATGAATTGATAAGACTCGTTGATTGCTGTGAAGTACATGAAAAATTTCAGACCTTTGCCTGTGACCTATTTATCTCTCTGAGTACTATAATTTTCATGTTAACGATTACTGTTTAAGCTGTGATGAAAGTCTCCTAAATATAACTCATTCTGGACGCAGTAATTGCTACTAGATGGGTGCAAAATAATACTTTCACCTTTTAAGCAAAAGGACAAACATTGGTCACACCTGATTACCTATTTGTTCTTAATTTATTCTCCTACAATATTTTTGACATTTATGATTTCGGCAAATCGACATCACTATGAAATTCGAAAATCTTTAAATCAACCGTGCTTCGCATGCAGGATGTAATTAACGTATTCAGTTATCCACATAATCACCAGGATACATTAACTCTTTGTTTTTTGTTCCTGTTAGCCTTGAAAATACACCGCCATTTGCAAATATTCTCGGCACAAATTGAAAGTTCGTCGGGTGTGACAGGTTGTTTCATCATGCACTGTTTTGTTGTGTTAGGCCATTGCTGTGCTTGTCAATTTTTTTACATGCGATTTGCTTTGTCATAAAACGTGTACTTGAAGGATTGCGTTAAAATGTGTATTTCATCAAGAATTTGTGCCGCATTTTCCTATTTTTATTTATCAAAAATTTCAGTTAAGAGGAAGGTATTCTAGTGCACACACGTGTCATGCACTTATTTCAATTTAAGTATGT